ACTTTAGGGAAGAAACTTAAGGTAAGCTCAGATATTCCCCTGACTTCAGACTTTTCAGACCTCCTTGCATTTGGAAGGTAAGCTCAGATATTCCCCTGACTTTTCAGACCTCCTTGCATTTGCTATATGCCTTTGGGTGGGAAGCGATCCAAGCCCTAATTAAGTGCCAAGCAAAAGGACAATTAATTCTTCAGACTTGCAGTTTTGTTTTGCTTTGGGGGCATGTGCGTGTGTATCCCGCTGGAAGGGATGTGCGCGCGCAGCGCACGGCCCAGCTTGTGCTTTGGCACCCACCAACAGGAAGAGCACAAGGACTTCCTGCGAATCGCCTTGCATCTACACCCTATATTTAGAAGCATTGTTGAAATGAACTCTCTGATACGAAGTGTGATGTGATTATTCTTTGTTATTACGATGGCAACCAAAATGCTCTCAAAGGCAATATTGAAAGGGCTGCAGTCTGGCCTAAGCATGTTATCGTTGTCCTGGTCTCCATAACTCATCTATGCGAAAAGCTGCTTCAGATAATAAGTTACAAGAATTGGCATCATCCTTGTATGCTTGGCTCTTGGTAACTTTCAGCAAAATATTAAACAGCATTAGCACTCTGTTAAAGAGTAAGCATGAGCAAAACCTTTGCATAAACTTCAAATATATGTTTTGCTGAAAATAGCCTCTTACAGTGCTGTCTTGCCTCTAGTATGTACGATATTTTATTATCTCAGCCCAGATGTTGCCAGGTACTATACAGTCCTTGGCATGACAAAAGGACTATTAAGTATGTAAACCTCGACAAGGTGATTAATGGTTCTGTGCCTCTTCTCTGCCTTCTTATCATTTTTGGATATGTCTTGTTTAGGACTCAAATCTTGTATGGGCTTTAAAAACAGTACTAAATACTGTTGTTAATTGGCAACAGGCTCTGGCCAAAGGGAGTTGTTTGCCCCTGCATAATGCTGGTGTAGTGTTGCCTTTTCTGTGTTCTCCTGATCAGTGCTCCAAGCCGAAGGAAACCTTTGGAGTAGGTTAAGTAGGAAAGATAGTGGGTCTTGCTGCAGAGTAAAATTCAGTAGAGGAGGAGGATGAAGTGGATAGGCAGGGAGTCTGCTTTTGAACCTGATCCTCCCATCAGGATCTTAGCCACAGGAATAGGTGCTTGTTGAGTTGTTCCCCAAGAGAAATGGTTGAGGTTCGGGCCTTTTGTTTTATATACCAAGGAAAACAGTTATCAAAGAAAGTTCCTGTCTGTTTTTGATGCTCTGGCTATTTCCCCCCTAATTCATTTTAAGGGGTGTTTGATAGAAGAGGGTTTCTTGGCAGCTCTCCGATCTTAATAGCTTCTGAGAAAATGCATTGATTGCTCCATTTGTTTTCAAAAGGTTGCTGTAATTTTCAAATCATTATCTGTGAGAAAATCAGTGTAATTAAACAGCGTCATAGATGAAGAATTAAAGACCCGATCCTTCTATCACTTAAACCAGTGTTATGTTGTTATTACCCAGGAGGAACTTTAGCAAGGCAAACAGCAAGTGGAAAAAGTTCCTCCGAACTCTTGAGAAGCGTGCTTTTATACTGTTTTCATTAGCTCAAGAATGGTCCTTGAAAACAGATTTTTACTTCTGGTAGAAAGTGCCAAGAGCAAGATGCATTTCTTGGGATTTGGGTAGTGGAAACAGTCCAGTCACTGTTGTCTAATCCTGCAACATGTTCACATTAAAAACAAACAAACAAAATACAAAACCATAAGAATGAGAAACCCCGCACCTAGCAAGCACCCTCTGCAGAGAGGTTTGCAAATCTAGCAGAGAAAATAGCTTGCATTTAATCAGAAAGGAAAGTCAATCTCTGGAGCCTCTCCACTTTTCGGAGACGCCAAATATAAGGAGTTGCTCTTGTTCCTATAAGCAATATCTCACTCCTTTTACAAGCAAGATATGTCAGTAATTAGATGCATTTCCGTGGTACTGCATAACTCAATTTAGCTTGCCTTTGAAACATGTTATGGAAGCTTTGCGGAACTGAAAATCTCGTGACTGAGGTATGAAAGTGAGGAAGAAATTGCTTTCAAACATTCTGCTGTGGCTTCATCAAATTGTAAATTCAGCAATAATTGCATTAGGCGTTATGAGGGTTATCTCGTCAAAGCTTGTGTTAATCCTCTGAAGTTTTGTTTTAGACACCCAGTGCTGCACGTAAATGCTGCACATAAATGTAGTATTTTAATTTGTAACTGCTGTTACAGTGGAAAAAATGAATTGGTGGACTAACGTTTGGGTTAGTTCCTCCTCTCAAAAATTTTGGATCAACTGCTTACTACAGCAGTTGCAGTGTTTTGTGATGGGTGCTTTGTGAGCCAGTCCTTACTGATCTCTGGGAATTAGATTAGAGTGATCCCATGACATGCAATTAAACAAGATGACTAGCACAAGAAGCTTTTAATCTGTTTAACCAAGGACGGTAGGATAAACCTAATCACTGGGGCTTCAGGCACGGTGCGCTCTTTTCCATCCCCTTATAAGCCTCTGGTTGCTTGCAATCTGTTGTCCGTCCCTTAAATAGGTGATGTAATCCCTGCTGCTTGATGAAGTAAAGGAGCCTGAATTAGGGAAGTGAAATCTTTTGTCTTTTGCTGTAAGCCTACCTGATAGTCATTGTTGCCTTTTACACTTTTAAAGTGCTCGATTCCGTCTGGAGATCGAGACGGAGGGCTGTGGCGTGACTCATTACTGTGATTCCTACTAGACAGTGCGTCTCATTCTCCTTGGCTTTCAATAAAAAAGAAGCCTTTGGGCAAACCAGTGCTAATAAATTGTGTGCCACCTTCAGCAGTGTGCCTTTAATAGAATGGTTGCTTAAAGCTGGAAAAAGCTGCACGCAAGTATAAATGGCAGTAGATACTGTGGTGAACACGGGCCTGTTGTGCGATTCCCTGCTACAGATTGGTGCCTGCTTAGGCACTGAATAGTACAGCAAGACACAGAGAACAAAGTCTGGGATACACAAAGGGCACACTTTATCTGCTAAGAATAGGCTTGGGGTTGCCATAAACACTTGGTATAAATCATCCAGGAATACAGATTTTTTTTTTCCTTACCTTTTTTCCCTCTTTTGTACCTCAGATTGGGTACCTGGCTGAAAAACTTCATCACTTTATAGCAGTTCTTGCACGTGCTCTTTGCTGTGATAGCGTAGTCAGCAAGGGCTGTAAAGCAGCTGCTTGGGGCCACCAGCCTAGGCTCGGAGCCTCTTATTACGAGGTCTCTCATTAAGTAGAAGAATAAGCACAAGGATTTTTTTTTTTCCATCAGTGAATTCCTTGGGAGGGTGACAGCTACCATTTTGTTAATTCTTTGAGTGGAATTTCTCAAAATCTCCAGACTTTCTCTGTGAGCAAATTATCCTACTGCATGGAAAGATAAATAGCTTAGGAATGGAATAGTGCAGCACCACCTCCTGAGGATACCCAAGTCATGATGTTTTGGTTTTGTTTGCAGAGAGGAGTCGCGTTCATGTTTTCTCTTGGCAATCCAAGTAGCAGCAGTGGGTGTGGAGGGGAGTTTGGTTTTGCACAGGCAGCGTCCTCTGGACTCTGAGCTGCTGAGGTTGGATCGATCCTTTCCCAAACTGCAGGGGCTTGTCAAGTGAAATCCTCACGGAAGAGACAAGTTGTTTCGGGCAACTGCTGGGTTGTGGGCTGGTGCTGCTTGCAGGGTTGCTCTGCGTGTTGTTAGTCGAGCCTTAGCTCTCAAGCCCAAATCCACCAGTGCTTGGATGTAACTAAGAAACAAGCTGCTAAAGCCAGATTTGAAGGGCTGCTGTTGCCTCTTGGTTTGGAAGCAGAGCTGGGGCAGCCCAGAGAAGAAAACACAACCTCTGATATAAAATTATTGTATTTAAAACATCTGAATTTCTCTTGCACTGGAGTCTTTTAAATTGTGCATATCTCTAAGTTTAAGCGTGTTGAGGAATGCTGTTTAAATGCAATAGAGATATTCACGTGTCTCAAATTAATTAGTTCTCTACTTGATAGAGAACTAGATAGAGAATGTGTGTGTATATATATATAGAGAGAGAGAGAGAATATTTATATATATATATATATATATATATATATATCTTATGCTGCTACGTCCTTAGTTAAAGATTTTTGATCGGAGGTGGGATATGCTGCGGCAAAGTGAACCCATGAACATAGTTGAAAGTGTTTTGTCTTGCTTTGCTTGCTTGCTTTGTTGTTTGTTTGCTTGATTCTTAAAGAACTTGCTTAAGGCTTCACTGAAAACAATGGGTTAAACCAGAATAGTATTGGGGTTTTTTCAATATGAAGTGAAGGAAAAAAGTGGTTTTGTTCTCATCTCTGTTATTTCTGTATGATCTTTCTAACTTGCTGTTTTATCCTTGGAAAAAAAGCTTGAAGAGAAATCTGACAATTATTAGGCAAATGTAACTTAAATCAGCAAATGGTATGTTGGCTTTTTCTTTGTGTAAGCAAGCAAACAAATCTTTTGGCAAAGGTGTCTGAAAGTAAATAAATTGGTCTTGACTGGAGTAAAAATCGTTTGTGTTTCCCTCCCCCGCAGGGTGTTGCCCTGCACAGCTTCGTGAAGTTGTCCAGAGTCTTAAACAAGTGTGTAGGTCTGGTGAAGTACAGACCATTCAACTCAAAATATAAATGGGTGTTTTTTTCTTGTACTTTTACCTATTAAGACTTGGCAGAGGAGTATTGTAACCCACAGAATGGAGTAAAATGCCCATATGTTTTGCTGAATTATAATTGAAAAGTGAAAATTTGTTTTCAATGCCAAAGGTAAATTGATTTTGAAATAAGGGATTTTATTTCCTTGCTTACTCTTGAAAATGTTGGAATTTTCTTCTTGAAGAGAACTCTTGAAGAGTTAAATTTCATTCAGATATTTAAATGGAAAGTAGCCAGTCTGTATTAAAATCTGTCTAAAAAAAATGCATTTTATAACAGCTGCTCCTGTTTGGTTTTGCAGGTTGTCTTCTGAATTTTGGGTCTGAAGGTACCCTGTTGTCTTCTCAGCAAATCATGGACATCGTTGGCTTTCTGAAGTCTCAATTCATTTGCCACCTTCTGATCTGCTACATATTTATAGTATCAGGACTGATCATTAACTTCATTCAGCTCTTCACACTTATCCTTTGGCCAATTAACAAGCAGCTGTTCAGGAGGATCAACTGCAGGCTGGCTTACTGCATTTCAAGCCGTAAGATTTCTTTTTCTTTTTTCTTCCATTTTGATTTATTTTTAAAGCTAATTTTTGTGTGGAGGGACTTGTCGGAAAAGTTCTGATATGAATTTGAAATTAGTTTATGTGAAGATCATTGCTGCTTCCTACAGTACTTGCATGTGTGCAGAGAGGTGTATGTGTTGCTCAAATGTGCTGTTCTGCTGAAATTTGTTGTTCTTTCTTACTGGGATACTTGCTTGATGTGGGATGATGAAAAAAGTCTGCCTGTCTTTTGGCTGTCCGTCATGTTACGTTAAGCCAAGCAAAAAATACTGACTAAAGAATTATTAAACATGTTCAGGTGCAGTAGCTGTAAGCTTATAATGTTAACAAGTCGCTTGGAATGATTTTGTTAATGTTTTTATCATGCATGATTTTGATTTTGATGTCGGTTAGTGTTCTGCATCTGACTACTGATAAGGGTTAGGAAATAACAATAGTAAAAATGGAAAAAAAAAAACTTCCGTTCAATGTGCTACTTTCTCAAGCCAATTGTAAGCTATTATTTTTTGACTAGGCATTTCAGACCTTAAACTGCATCCTTATGGATGTAGTATAAACATACAGTGGATGCATCTGTAGTAGCGAATGCAGCATGTGGTAAACATTGCAAGAAGGAGTTTCAATTAGTCTGACTCCCTGGGATACAGGGGAGCATGAGATCAGGACATTGCCTGTAGAAAGGTCAGACCTTTGTAACGGATGGAAGATGTGTGGCAATTCATTGATACTTGACTACACAGAATTCCAGTGGGATTAATGGGACCTAAATTCATTCATTTCTTCTCAGTTAGTAGAAGGTTGGTAGATTCTGTACCTGTCAACACTAGATTATCAAAGCATTTGTAATTTCCTTGGTAATATTAGTGTGCTTCTATTTTCCAAACCACTCTGATTTGTAGTTTCCTCACTGATTTATTCTAGTGGTAATCAAGCACTTTAGCGTTTCTAGACTGAGTGTTTCAAGCTACCCTCAAGCTAGGGGCTGGCTAGTGCAGTTCCCAGGGTAAGGGGGGGTAATACTGCTTGCTTGCCCTTGGCTGGGCAGAGAGCTCTTTGTTCAGGGTTGGTGATCTGATCTCCAGTGTTGACTCCAATGGAAAAGGTCGTGTTGTGAGATTTTTGCCTAATCATGGTCAGAACAAACTAGCTCTAGGTTAAAATAGTGTTGTGTTTTTAAGTTTTACAGCAACAATCTACAAGCTAGTATACGGTATGAGTCACCCTTACATGCTTGATATTTCAAAAGGCAAAAATGATATTTAATTTTAGAAAGTATTTGGTAAAACTACAATTGGCAAGTTAGATAACTGATGTGTTTTTATAATATGTACATGCAAGATGATGCCTTTTTGGAGCATCAGTATTCTGACTAATAAATAACTTAAGCTGCATCTGTATGTAGGTCTGGTGAAAGTCACAGAAACTCTTCCTGCAGCTTGAGATCATGAAGTTTAGCCTTGGAGAAAATGAAGAGGCATGTGCTTTGAAATGGTTATAAGCATCATGTTGCTTTGAGTAGCTGTCACAGCATAATCACTGGAGCAGCTGAAATAAAACAGGCAGAGTTTAACCGAAGAGTAGAAGGAAGGCAGCAGCTGCCTTCAGATCTTGCAAGTTCACTCAGTTTCATTTTGATGTCAAAGGTGGAGATAAGTGATTTCACAAAATCAGGGGAGAACATTTAATCTCTGACCCTGTGCTGCTCTGGGAATGGTTTTTGAATTTCAAGTAGTAATGGTGGTTTCTTCTCCTCCCTTTTCTTCCCATCTACTTTCTAACATATGACTGTAATATTATCGTTGTCCTTGCGCAGTGTCTGCGGTCGTAGAGCCTATAGGAAGCCAAGCTGTCACTGCAGTTAATGACTTGTCCTCCTTACCGTAGTTTGGCTTGAGTTTGGTACACTTGTCTGTCCACTTGATCGAGTCAAGCGAGCTCCAGTGATGGCTTTCACACTACAAAGTGGCCACAGGGAATGGCTGTGGTTTAGAAGCTGATCATGTGTAGCTGTGTGAGTACAGTAAGGGCCTTACTTGGAGATTCACACCATTGCTACTGACAACCTAACAGGTTGATGCTATAGACTCTGAAATTCTTCTCATCAACACAAGTTAGGGAAGAGGCAAAAACCTCATTCCCAGTTTGAATTTAAAGTAGAGGGATTGACTAGAGCAGTAACTTGATTGTAAGGAAAAGTAACGTGTGTAACTGCACATGTCGGCTTACCTTCAACAGCCAAGAGTCCAGAAGCTGTTGTCTGTCTGCAGCCTGTGATTCACAGCTGATCTGGTCAGACGGGGAGTTTGGCATCTGTACTGTACCGTTTCACTATGTACTAGAGTTGGAGAGAACTTTCTGTTGACAGTGTTTTCGAAGGAAGAAATATAAGTGGCCAGTTTTTTGACCTGGTGTTCTATCAAATTTGACTTAGAGAAATGCTGCTTAATTGCAGTATGGAGCCGTAGTTCAGCTTGCGTCCCCTGCTCCAGAGAGAGCTGTCAGGTTGCAGTTTGCATTATTTCATAGCTCTGAGATATTTTTCATGTTTTTCTACAAATAAGCTCTTCCTGTTTTGATGTCATTATCCCATTTCATGAATATTTTCAGGCTGATGATTAGTTCTGGTCATCCTCACTGTGCATGTTTCAACCTTTAGTGCAGATGGTGAGTTGCAGGGACTGAATGTTCAACTCGAACAAGGAAGCTTGCTTCTTGTTGCTCTGTAGTGCTCTTGAAGTGAGCTAAGAGATTCGCAGGGGTTACTTGCCCTCTGGCAAATATGGCTCTTGTGTTTCAAGTTTTTTTGAAAAATGCGTTTGGAGTAAGAATTTTCAGCCAGTATTTTCTGGTTCTAAGTGACCATTCACTGACTGGCTTCAACTCTCTTTGAATCCCCCTTTCTAAAAATGATACTCCTGATAACTGCTGCTTGGGACTGAACTCCACAGGGCGGTTCTAATAAGGAAATAACACTTTGCAAACCTCAATAGCATGTACATGACAAGCTTTAAAAATAGGCGTGCTGGGAGGATGGCAGTAGAACATAGTTTGGGTGATCAGTCAACATAGCTTTCAGTTTTAAATAACAGCTTAGGGACACCTTATACTCAATGCCTCCACAAGACTGAGAAGCCAATGTGTACGGCCAGGAAGGAAGAAGCGCTTAGTGTGGAGTACCTCAAGGTTCCTGTGGGTGCTCTCTGCAGCAGAACGTGGGAGAGGTGAAAATACAGCTACGTTCTTGTAACCTGAGGACAGGAGAGCACCACGATGGATGGCTCTCGCGCACCGGCTTGTAAAGCTGGCCAAGCATGGAGAGGCAGAGAGTTGTCCGCCTGCGCACGGAGCTTTGCAGCTTGCTGTGGCACTGGGGGAGTGATTTGTGTTTCCTGAACCAGCCTGTGCTCAAATGGTGGGTAGGCTGGTGCAGCGCCGCCTTGGCGGTGAGCAGGTCGCGCTGGGCTCCTGCTCGTTTTGGGGACATAGCTCTGCCACGTGGTGAGATATGGTAACAGGACACATATTAAGCAAATGGCTTCTCTCATGGTGCTTCCTGTTTTTGTGCAGGGGGGCCCTTGGCTGCGTGGCGCCATGGGTGATGGCCCCTGTCCTCTCACGTGCCAGGGGCTGGTTAGCTCTGCGTGGTGCTGGGCTCCCCTCTGGGCTCCCGGGCAGGTTACCAACAGGCCTGGCGCTGACTGTGCCTTGAGGGGAGCGTCTTGCTGGCAGCCACACAGCTCTGCGGGCAGGTGCATAGGGACCTTAAAAGCTATTGTTTAGCTTCTAATCTGCCTTTATAAACAATTTATGGCAGTACTAATACCTATTCTTGCCTTATGAAAGGCATACTATTACACCTGTGGGTAAAGTTACACGATGTACCTTGTTGCAGTTTGTAAATATGTCTGAAGGGAAGGTTCTTGTTAGCATGGAAAGAGACGGCTCTGATGGCTTCTCATTGAATGCAGCAAAATCAAGATGGAAACTGATTCTTCTCAAGACTGAGCTTTCAGGAAACAAAAGCAGAGGAAACTGAGAACTGCTTCAGATTTGTCATCCTAGATGGCTGTTATGAGACAGTAAATTCCTTCCACATATGCTGTAGGTTTTGTGGTGGGGAGAGCTATAGGCCCAAACAGGCTGTGCGATAGCGTCGGGCCCTCTGCATTCATTCAGATCCCTGCACGCAGCCAAGGGCCTGTCTGCAGTTTAGGGGAGTCTTCAGCTTTCCTTGGCTGTGCTTCCTTTAGGTGTCGAGGTGGTGCTATAGCAGAGAGAAGAAAACTGTCTCCTCAAGTACCACAGAGGAGGCGGGCAGGAGTGGGGTGAGAAATCAGAGGGCCCTTGGCAGGCAGAGCACTCTCCCTTCTGCACCACGTCCCACTACCACCGTGCCTCAGGACAGAAGGAGCAGGGTGCTCCCCATGCATACACAAGCTCCTGCTTGTCCTGGAGAGATTAAAAAGAATTCATGTCATTAATGAAATTTATCAAGTTGGTGAATTAAGGAATAAATGTGTGTGTATCTAAGACAAAACTTGGCCAGCAAATATCCTCAAAATGGCAGCATTCACATTAAGATACCTTCTTGTAAAGCTTGCTGCTGTTCAGGATAAATTACAATGTCTTTAATGTCATCCTACAGTGTTTTATCTGTGGAGCAAAGTGAGCTGTGTTTGTCAACATAGAATTCAGCAAAGAACTATAGTAGGGCCCTTTGGACTGTACTGCTTAGACTAATTGCAAGGCTGTGTTTGGGGTGACTTTCCCTCAAGTGCTGTTATTTGTCCAGATGAACCTTTGCTATCTTGCTTCCACACAGCACATTTATCTCCTTGAGGCTTAGGAAGAACCATCCAAATCTTGCATCAGATTTGATAGTCATGCAAAGGGAAAACATTAATTTGAACCTTATAACTGCTAGTACATTGCTTTAACCTTCCTTGTCTTCCCTCGAGCCCCTCTGTGGGATC